GGGGGGGGGGGGGGGGGAAGGTGTGGTAGAACCCATCAACAAAAAAAAATGATACAGAGTGAAATTTGAAATAAATGCATGCAACCATCTAGCGAGAGAATTAAAAACAACTCCTTCAACTACATAGTCTACATGGACAGAAATCTGAGATAGAAAACATTCCTGCTCAGCTTCTACACCGTACGTACCGACAAACTTTAATTATCATGTGATCTTGTATATCTAGCCTTTTAAAATTTAACGCGTTATTCCTGATGATGGGATCATGACTTCAATTAGTCGAAACGTGGAATAAGTTTCTACCATTTTCGGAATATTCATTGTCTTGTATTTTCTGCAATTACTCAGTGGGAAGCGTAACTTTGGACAAGATAAAAATTCATAAAATATACTAGAAAACGTTTCGTACTGAACTACATGCATTGTATTATCTTAAGCTTTTAGTCCTTGGCCTTGCTTCGATTCTTCTAAAATAATGAATAAATTATTTCGGCTCAATTACCTCGAATCGAGGTCTCAGATCAGTGGGTTGGCTTCGTACTATCTTGTTGCCAATGCTTCGAACATGGCGGTCAAGCCAACTTTTATAATAACCCTTATTTGAACTGTTAAAAATATATTACTGCATGTTTGAAAATCAATTTTAAACAATATATATTATTTTTGCATATGTTCTATTATATAATATTAGAGTGGTTCAGATTTGACTCCCGCTAAGCTACCTCTCGCTGGCTTAGTAAGCATCTGATTGGTTAATTGGATATATCAAACGATCTGATTGGTTAACGGGCTCTTGCCCCCTGGAACGCAGCCACAGACAGGGCCTTTTTTAACATAGAAGCTGGGGGGGGGGGCAAATGCCCCCCAGTCCCCCCTTGTGCCCCCCACGAAATCACATTTTGCCCCCCCAGGAAAAGTCCCTTTTCCCTAAAATTATAGAAACAAACCAGCGAAGATTAACAAATTTGTCCTTGTTTAACAAAATCGATTTAAATTGTTACTTTTTTCTACCACTAAGTAATGATAAATTATTGTTAATAATTTTTTATTTTTTGGATGCTCAGAATGCAGGAAATAGCATTTCCAGGTTTCAAATTTCAAAAATTTTCTGGGGATTATCCCTCTAATAAGTAATGATAAATTACAGTTACTATTCTTTTTTACTTTTTGTGCATATTTTCCATCTTTTATTTCAAATACAAGTATAGTTAGCATACATTTTAGAGCAAATTTGGATGCTGAGAATGCAGGAAATGGCATTTCCGTGCTTCAAATTTCAAAAATTTTCTAGGAGAGTACACCCCCACACACCTGACCATTGCCATCCTCCTCTAAGTCCTCTAATAAGTAACGATAAATGATGGTTTATTTTGTTTTTAGTTTTTGTGCGTTTTTTCCTTTATTTATTTTAAATACAAAACAGTATAGTTAGCATAAATTTTGGACCAAATTTGGATGCTCAGAATGCAGGAAATGACATTTCTGGGATTCAAATTTCAAAAATTTTCTGGGGGAGTAGTCCGCCAGACCACCCCCCATTCATGCGTGGTATATTGGCCACACACGTAGCCTTCAGCCATTGCTATCCCCCTCTAATATATTATCTCACAGAAAAGTCCCTTTTCAAAAAATGTCCCCCCACGGGAAAATCCTTAAAAAAGGCCCTGGCCACAGATGGAACGGGGGCAACTGTTAGAGTTATACTATTCGACTTCAAAAAGGCGTTCGACCTCATCGACCACCACTTGCTACTTTCCCGCAAAATAAAGACGTATGATTTACCTCAATGGGTGTTTAAATGGATCAAAGACTTTCTCACAGGAAGAAAACAACGGGTCAAACTAAATCAAAATTCTTATTCAGATTGGGCCGACATTTCAGCTGGTGTTCCACAAGCTACTAAGTTGGGGCCGTGGCTGTTTATCATAATGATAAATGACTTAAAGATTAACGATATAATATATGGAAATTTGTGGACGATACAACTTTAGACGAAATTGTTAGGAAAAATGAAGACAGTAAAGTTCAAACCTTTATAGATGACCTAACAAGACAAATCTCTGAGAACCAATTCAAACTTAACGAAACTAAATGCAAGGAGTTACGAATCGGATTCTGCAAACCAAGAGCAATGTTTGACCCCAATATAGTAAATGGAGAAATCTTGGAAGTGGTCGACAGTGCTAAAATCCTTGGTCTGAGCGTTTCTAACAATTTGAAATGGAACAATCACATTGACCAAATTATATCGAAGGCGCAAAAGCGTCTCTATTTTCTCTCCCAACTTAAGAGAGCGAGAGTTGGCAAGAAAGAACTTGTCCTATTCTTTACAACGTGCATAAGACCAATCCTAGAATACGCAAGTCCTGTACTCCATAATGGTTTGACAAATTACCTCAGTCAGGATTTGGAGCGGATCCAAAAGAGAGCATACTGCGAATTATCTTACCTTAATGGGTCTCATATGAAGACGCTTTACAATCAACTGGCCTCCATCGACTCAGCCATCGAAGAGACGGTCTTTCATTTAACGTTGCATTTCAAACTAACCGTTTTAAAAATAGTTTTATTATACATAGTGCATTAAATTATTCATCATAAAATTATTAGAACATTCTTTGATCCTTTTAGAGACATTTAGTTGTATAGTATTTTCATATTTTCTTAACTTGTAAATATAAACGTAATTCAGCCTATTGGCTGCAATGTTTATATGAAATAAACCATCTATCTATCTATCTAATGATAAACGGTAGTGGAAGTCAAATCGGCTCTAATAGCTCTGGCTATATTCTATCCTTAAAGCCTCAGTGGTGGAAGTGGGACAATTTTTGTTTATTGTAAGACGCTCTAAGAGTAAAATGAAAAGCGTAAAAAGAAATTAAAATGTTAAATTTATCGATATAGCGACCATAAAATACGACTTCAACACATATCGATGCTTCGAGCCTTCCCTTGACCTATCAATGTAGTGCATTGTAGTGACCTATCATCTTCCACAGGGATGCCGGAACCACGGGTGCAGCGGGTGCAAGTGCACCCCTTGCCTTTTGCATTTTCAACTTTGTGGGTGCAGTGCTGGTGCAGAATATGGGTGTAACGGGTGCACAAAACTTTTACAACAGACAGAATTAAACGTCGCTCGAGGATGTGTGTGGGGGTGTTCCACCCCCCAGTCGTCAGGAATTCGGCAAAGTTATCATCCATTTGGCGAAAGGTGAAACGGAAAGCATTACTTATGGAATTCTTGGCGAGAAATTACGGAGGAATTGTGGCTAAATCATTGTATTCGGTCCGAAAAAATTTGGTGACGGGGAGGGAGGGCGACACGAATGTAGGATCATGACGCCCTTTCATTTTCATTGGTGCCCTTTTGTTAAGGAGTATGCCCTCTTGTTAACCAATTGCACCCCTTGCCCTCAGCAACTTCCGGCATCCCTGATCTTCCACATACTAAATGGTACGCGGGCACCATAAACCTAGTGATGTATTAACCCCCCGGAGAACGTATATTTATTTCAGGCACATTTGATCATCTTAATTTGCTTCAGATTGTTTCGCATTCTGTTAGACTGTCTGGACGATACCATAACGACAACTAATGTTTGGACGAGGACTCGTCTCAGAGTTACTAAAAGTGGCTGCATCAAGAAAGGTAATTTGGGTTGAGTTTGGTTTTAGCAATGAACACATCAACGGTACAGGTTGTACGATGGTCGGATAGCTCCGTCCTCCATCGGATAGCTCCGTCCACCGGATAGCGGCTAAAATTGCCCGCTGATTGGTATAACCCAGATTAAGCCTCCTTCGCAGGCAACTGTTTGGCTTCTGAACGGCAATAGACAAATACAATAAATACTGCAATAAATACTGTAATAAATACTGTAATAAAC